CACAGCCAGAAAAGTAGTTTGCTTTTGAGAATGTTTGTGGTTGATTTAAGCAAATATTCAAAGATGAAATTAGCTAGAAAAATTACTGATGAGGTGCCAAATGTATAATAGATTCGAAAGTTAAATGTATAATTGATCAGACAATATAACGAAGAGAAAATATAACAACAAATTGCTGGAGTTTTCTTGACAACTTAATTCTAAGATCAAACTTTGATTGATGATTGAAGCAGTTGCTTATTGGTTCTTTCCAGTTTTTGCAGCTCTTTCCAGCGAAAGCAGCTTTGCAGACTTACTAAATCATTCAAAGAAAATATTGATTGCATTAAATTAATGCCAAAATATGCAAATGAAAACTTTTCTCAATTTCCAGTTTAACTAAACATTGGCTGGTTAAAGGTTGATTCTACATTTTGTATAGCTTAATGTCCTTTTAAATTATACTAAAATGGCAACGAAGTGATCCAATTTGGGTCTTGCTCTTTGCTGTGCTTGAGCAGCATATTCTTGAGGAACTCGTGGAGATTCCAAAGGTTCAAAAAAGACATTCTCCAAATCGCTGTTCGTCTCTATTTCTCTCGAGAAACATTTCAGTCTGAGTTGAGCGGAAATTCAGATATGGAGATAATAAGACAAAGCTCACAGCGTACTTGGGTACATCAATATGCACAGAATACATCAACTGATGTAATATGTGATGTAAATAACAATTTTCCACGTCAAATTCAGCTTTAAATTGTTGCAAAATCATCGATCAAAGGGAGTTTAACAGTGTTTAATGTACTTTTGATTGATTCATTTTTGATAACCCAACTTGCAATAGAAAATTGTGAACTTTTTTAGCACGAGTCATATGATTTCACTTGGAGTGGGATGAGTGGGGGGAGGGTTGTTATGACACTTACATATATCACGGCGCATAATATAGATAATAAATCATAACGGTTAAGTGTTTTCAATTACCCAATTTACCAATCGCAAATCGCCAAGCTGAGCACGTTCCAAAGCTGACAACAAACGGCAGCAGCAAGCAGCAAAGCAGCAAAGCAGCAAGCAGCAAAGCAAAAACAACGAGAAATGTTAAATGCTATTTATCAGCAGTAAAGTAACAAAGCTGTCTAGCGGGTGGGGGTGGGGTGTAGGGTGGGGGTATGCCTGACTGCAGGCAAGCAAGCGAAGGCCGGATGAACGCGACGACTTTAGCAAAGCTCAGAAACAGCAACAACAACAGCAGCAACAACAACAACAACAGTTATAAAAAGCTGATAAGTTCGTTTTCGCAAATGGGAGCGCAAAGGGAGCGCGCGGAGGAGCGCAAACAGAGCAAGAGCCAAACGTCGCTGGCACCCCACCCCGCTCCACACTCCCACTCCCTATCACTCAATTGTATGATTGTATTAGTGTTTGTGTGTGTGTGTGTGTGTGCAGTAAAGTGCGACATTTTGCTGCTGATTAAGTAGCGTTCGTTTTTAATAAAAGTACGACAAACAAATAAAACACAACAAGTAGCTGCACACACACACACAGACACACAGATAGACTGGCGCCCAGCAGCTACGGCCTCGGCCTCGCTCGCTTCCCGTCTCCCTCCCTTTCTCTCTCTCTCTCTCTCTCTCTCTCAGTCTCTATCTGCCTGTCGCCTTCGTCCTCGTGCTCGTCTTGTTCGAGCGCTTCAACCCAACCCAACCCGCCTTTGTCATTGCCTTGAAGGTTATGGCACGAGCTCGGGCACGTGCCAGTTGTTACGTATTTGCGGCTGTGGCTTTGGCATTAGGCATGTGTCTGTCTCTGTGTGTGTGTGTGTGTCTGTGTGTGTGACGACAACGACGTCGACTTTGGTTTTAGCGTGCCGCCATATGTTTCCGGCAAGTGTCCTGCACCTCACTCACTCCCTTACCCGCATCCGCATCCGCAACCACCCCCGCTTCCACTCCCACTCCCATCGCTCAGTTCAAGCGTTGAAATCTGCAATGCCAACAAGTAAGGCGCAGCCCAGAGACAGACTCAGGACTTTGCCCTGACACTGGGTGTGCAATTTTCCATGCGGGGGTTGGTTATTTCAGCATGAAAAACCAACAGCGACCCACTCGCCACTCCCCGCTCCGCGCTCCCCACTCTCTTACTCTCTTGCCCTCCCCACCACACACCCAATAGCCCAGCTCGCCTCAATGCCATTTGTTAATTCAAGTTGGCGATGCGCGTGTGACACACTGCAGCACGAGTGTTGCACGAGAAATCAAATAAGCATCAAGTTGGAAGTTCACTCAAAATGAAGCAGCTAAAAAGAAGATAAATAAAGATGAATATATAAAATAAATAAATATTTATCAGCTAAACACTAAAATCAACAGTTCAATTAATATGCAGATTTGAGTTCGTGTTTGGTCGTGAGTGAAAGCACGACACGCGCTCAGCACTAATCGAAGTAGAGCACATAACTGTAACGGCGACTGTAACCCGATACTCGTATGCGTATCGTGTGGAGTAAGTGTCTTCGTGTGTATCTTCCTGGCCGCATAACGACACCTTCTGTCGACGCCGTTGTCGCCCGATTCTCCCCCCCCCCACCATTACTCTTCGCCGGCGTCATCAACGCCGCCGCCTTCGCACTGATTTATCAGGGTCATAAAAGCGAATGGGAGAAAAAGACTAGGAAAACGCATTTGTCTATTTGTGAGTGTATTCGTTTTTTATTCATTTCATATTTGAAAATCAGCTAATTTATTGTTTAACTTACAATTTTTGTGTGTGTGGATTACATGTGAATTGCGGCGAAAATGGTTCTAACAATATAATATAATATAATATAATATAATATATATATATAATATATGTATCTAATAATTATAATTTATGTAGTATGTGCACACATTCAGATGTTTAAATATAATTAATTATATATATGTATGTATATATGTGTTTTTGTATATTTAGTTAATTTGGGCTTCAAAGTTTAAACATTTCATTGGAACAAACATTAATATCAGCTTAAAAATAATATAATTTTAATTATAGTTTTTGCACGGTGCTAATAGCCAGCCAACTTAGCTATAGATTCATAGAGTAATTAAATAAATATACAATTGTTCAATTTTCTTTTCAATTCCTTTACTTTGTTTTTGTTTTTTGTTTTGTTTTTGGGAATCTAGCAACAATTTCGAGTTCCCATTTGTTAAGTTGCTTCGATGCACAGTTTCCATGGCTACGCGACCATATCGATGCCGGTCGGCTTTTTCAGTGGGGGGTTGGGGTTGGGGTTTTTGATTTATGTAAATTTCAACAAATTTGTAACAAAAAAAAAAAAAAAAGGTGGTTGAAAGATCTCTATCGACGCGAAGGGTTGTTTTCATTTCCCTTTCTATCTGTGGATATTAATATTTATAACTACACACGGTGTTTAGAGAGCCATTTTACGCTATCGACGATAGGCATCGAGTGGAAACTGCGCGTCTAGGCCATATATATATATATAGATATATATATTATACAGTTTGGCTGTCGTTGCGGCCTTTAAACTTTATAAATTATGTACATATAAATAACAGATAAATTGTATACACAAAATGCGAATTGTGAAATAAATAAACCACGCAATTTAGCAAACCACAAAGCAAACGTCACGACTAACCGAGAGATATACAACTATAAACAAAAACAAAAAAAAAATATTTTAAAAATACAGAGAAATTAGCATGTAAAGCTTTGCATGACGATATTTATCGATATAAGCTACGATATTCTACTTTTAGTTGCTAAATAATTGTGTTAATGCATATTATAGATTTATCGATAATCAATCAATCGTCTTATCGATATCGATTTATGCCAAGATGCTTGGGATACATTTTTAATATTAAATACAGTGTTTTTTTTTTTCTGTTGTTGTTTTATTTTTTGTTTTTGTTTTTGGTCGAAGCTTTAAAAAATAGATTTGAGTTTTGTGTTCAACTTTTTGTTTAGTCGTTGTCGCTTCGAGATTTCAATTTATGTACAAAGTTCGTGCTGCAATTAAACGTGGCACGCTTAAAACACTAAATACGAAAAAGTATCTACAAGTAATATAAGTGTATGCATATATATATATATATATATATTGTTATTTATATATATGTAGATATATATCTGTTGTATTTTGTATCTTTATGCTTGACACGCTCAGGCTCAAGCGGCGCAAAATCGTTAAAATTTTATCGCCTCAACGAACGTGCCCACTGTCTCTGTATGTGTATGTGTGCGTGTGTGTGTGTGTGTGTGTGCGTGTGTATTGGCTACTGTTCACACACAACAACACCACCACCACCACCGAAAATCTAAAGCCCAAAACCAAAAGCAAAACGCTCGTCAACAACCAGCGCTAAGTGCGCGTTTCACACTTGGCCAGAGACGAGTGGAAGAAAAAAGAAAGAAAAAAAAAGAAATAGAAAAACGAAAGAAAAAAAAACAATTCACTTCCGATATAAGCTTATAAGTTTGTTGTACGCTACACGTTTTCTCATCATATTCAATAATTTATGCATTCCCCGATGCGATTTGTTTTGATTTTTAGCTACGCGCTACACTACAACAAAAAACAGTATAAAAACGCCTTTTCATTTGCGTTCTACGTGTTGTTATCAGCTTGAAATTTTCCATTTACAAACTAGCAGATACTCTTGGCCGATTAGTTAGCTTACCTCTTTTTGGGGGTATACATATATAGTAAAGACATTCGATATAATTGAGTCATAATTTAGTAACGAGTGCTATTTGCTGTAGTTGTTTCTTAGGATCGGATCACTAACTGCTATAGGAACATATTGAGAAGGGATTACCAAGTTGATTTATTATAGCACTCGTTATTGCGATAGCGACGAATTGGTCGACAATTGGCTGAGCAACGAGTTCAACTCGTTGTTGCAAATCTGCTGATTTGCCGTTAGAGTATCTGCATTTTGTTGTTTAGTTCTTTTCTTTTTTTGCATTTGATATTTGCTGATATTTTATAATTCATTTTCGTTCGCTTTTTTTTTGCTATGCCAACAACAAAATCAACAACAACAACAGCAGCTTGCTTTGTGGTTATTTATTTATATTTCGCATTTTTGTGTCAGCTTTTTTGCTTTTGCAGCTGTTGTTGTTGTTGTTGCTATTGCTGTAGTTAGCAGATATACTACATACCTATATATATATGTACATACCTATATGCATACTACGTGTATATATATATTTCCATTAGGTTTATAATTTATTTCGAGGCGTACTAATTCCAGGCGCAAATATTTGCACATTTATTAGCATGCAAACATATATATAAATATATATATATATCTACATATATATGTGTGTGTGTGTGCGTATTTTTTGCATTTGTTTCTGCAGATGTGTGTAAGTATCTTGTATCTTGTTGTATGTGTGCGAATTGGGTTAATATTGCTTGTCAAATGAAGGTATTTACGGTTAAGTTGCAAGGCCTATTCGCTGCAGCGACACGTGACGAGTGGCAAGTGGGCGAGTGACGAGAAAGCTGACCTTCTCCGTGATTCTCAATCGATTAAATCCGTTCAAACTGTAAATCGAATTGGAGCTCGCATTAATTGCTGTTGTTGGTTTGCTGTAGACTCTCCAGTGGCGCCACGAGATACATTTGCGTGCCGCACATCCATAGAAACGCTGCAACGGGCGAGAAATAAAATAGATATATATATATATATGTATATATAAATAAAAGTTCAAGAATGAAAATTGCTATTCATGGATGAAAATACGGAATGATGTAATGTCCGAGCCGAATGCGAGAATGATAAACTGAACAAATGGGAGAGAGACTGCTACGAATGCGGCGGCTGTTCATTAAAAGGCAAACGCAAAAAACAAAAACAAAAAAAAACTACAAAAAAACAAGCACTGCATAAAAGCAACTACAAAATAAATAAAAAGAGTTGTTGTTGTTGTTGCTGTTGTTGTTGTTATAACGGCAAAAATAAAGCAGCGCTCGTAGGAATGACCGACCCAACGAACCAGCGAATGCCCGAGAAAACGACCCAAGAGCAAGAGCAAGAGCGAGAGTGACAGAGAAAGAGAGAGAGAGAGGGCGAGAGGGAGAGAGCGAGCGACAGAGCACGTGAGCGAGCTAGAGAGAGAGAGAGAGAGCTAGTGTTGTGGTATGTAGAGATGGGGGAGAGGTGAGGAGGAGTTGAGGCTAACGTGAAAGATACACGTTGACGAGCTGTGCCCGCTAAATTTGTGTATAATGACTACTTGAGAAAAATGAAAGAGGAAAGGCAAAAGAAACAACAAGAAAAGCAACAACAAACACAACAACAAGCACAACAACAACAACAACAAGACGAAGAAGAAAACGCGCAAACACGAAATGTAATTTGTATAATTTGAGTCTCTTTTTTCTGTTGTTGTTGTTGTTGTTTTTTGGTTGAGTGTGGGAAACGCGCCAAAAAGAAAATATATATATATATTATACACAGCAAGAACAGCAGCAACAAGTAATAGAAAGAAAAAGAAAAGGAAATGAAAGAAACCCATTTGACTTATAAGAAAAAAAAAATGCAGAAGATATTTAAGCTTGGCACAAAAAAATGCCACGTTTTGCTTCCCATTCAATGGGAATGGCAATCCTAATGAAGATCGTAATAAATTATGAACATATAATATATAAATAAAGCAGATAAGATAAGCAGATAAAAAAGTTGTTTAGTTAAGCTTTTCTAATAGCTTTAAATAGGCAAAAAAAAGCACAAAAATAGCTCGACTCGTTGTTGTTTTACTTTTAAAAATAGTCCTCAATAGGAATGTGAAATATGTGAAATATGCCAGATCTGAAAAGGTCACATGCCAATCAGTTAATAGAAAAGTAAACAAATTTTTCTTGGGAAACAGCTTTTCCACTATTCGCCGCATATACAATTTTCTCAAAAAGAACCAATAATTTAATTTGGCAGTCTACAATTTCAAATTTCAAATTCAAATTGTGGCAGCACTCAAAAAAAAAAGATGAGCCTATTTAAATGAAGTAAAAACTAAAAAAAAAAAAAAACCAACTAAAATTAAAATATATATTCTCGATTTGAGCATAAAAAGTGAACGGAGCGAAGAAGAAAAACAAAAAATATAATCAAATTCTTTGTTTGAGTTTGAATCTTGAATCAAGTTTGTTGGCTGGCTGACTGCTGATTTGCATACTCATTTCACGAAGAGCACATTCTTGATTCGATTTTGTAGATATTAAGTTAAGATTTGCATTCTTAATTTACGCTTGAATTTCTTCCGAGTCATTAGCTCGGCTCAAATATTTCAAACTCTTGGCTTAAAGAGGTATTTTTTGAATTTTGTTTGTTTGCTTGTTGCACTTACCTGGTGACTAAGCGGAACTTGCCACCGATGCCAGAGTGTCGGTGGCGGCAATTTGTACAGGCGGCTTTGACATTGAATCGCTGCTCGCATTTGCCACACTTGGCATCGGCAGCGATGGCAGCGGGAGTGTGGCAGGTGTTGCAGTTGCCGCTGTTGCTGCTGTTGCTATTGTTGTTGCTGCTGCTGCTGTTGCTGCTGCTACTGTTGCTGCTGCTGCTGGCGCTTTGGCATCCGTTTTAGCCACATTAGCCGTACTGCTGCTGCTGCTGCTGCTGCTGGCGCCTTTTTCCAGTTCCGGCGTTTTGGCTGCTGCCACACTAGAAACAACAGTGTTGTTGTTGTTGCTGTTGCCCGCCTGTGGCACAAGTGGCGCCTCCTCGGCGAGTGCGGCTGCCTTGGCCTCGGCGAGTATGTTCAAATTGGCAGCAACTTGATCGATGGTTGTCGGCTTTTTTATTGCACGCGGCGAGGTGGCTGAAGCAGTGTTGCTGCTGCTGTTGTTGCTGCTGTTGCTGTTGTTGTTGCTGCTGCCGGGACTGAGCTGTGCTGTTGTTGTAACTGCTGCTGCTGCTGCTGCTGCTGTTGGCGCTTTGTGCTGCTCATCAGCCTTAACCGTTAGCGGCTTGGCTGCAATTGTTGCTGCTGCGACTGTTGCAGTTGCAGTTGTTGTTGCTGCTGCTGCTGCTGCTGCTGCTGCTGTTGGCGTCGCCTGATTGCGAAAGGCCAACGCTGAGGGATTGGGTATGCTGCGCACGGATGCATTCTGTGGCCGCACCAACGCATTCTTTGGCTTATTCTCGTACATGTTGCCGCACTTCTTTGAGATCGAGATCTTCTCGCGCGCCGTCGCCGACTCGGACAGCAAATGCAGATTTTGCAGATCATCAGCAGCAGCGGCAGCGGCAGCGGCGGCAGCAGCAGTTGCTTTTGCAGTTGCATTGTTGTTGTTGCTGCTACTGCTGCTGCTGCTGCTGCTATTATTGTTGTTGCTGCTGTTGCTGTTGGCGCAAATGTTTTGCTTGATTTTATTAAGCGCTGCCTCCAAACTGTTGCTGCTGCTGATGCTGCTGATATTGTTGCTGTTGCTGTTGCTTAAGGCTGCTGTTGTTGCCGGCTGCTTGGCGCTTTTGCTGCTGCTGCTGCTGCTGCTGCTGCTTGTTGTTGTCTGCTTGCCACTGCTGCTGCTGTTGCTGCTGCTACTGCTGTTACTGTTGATGTTGCGTCCTGTGCCTGCTGATAAATCAAGTATGTCAGCATCCTTGGCAATTGTTGCTGCCGTTGCCGCTGTCGTGCTAGTTGCTGTTGTTGTCAATGCTGCTACTGTTGCTGCTGCTGCTGCTGTTGTTGTTGTTGTTGGTGGTGGCCGAAATTCGCGCAAAGTTGTTTTCGACTTGTCCAACAGTTGCGCTGCGCCATTGGCAACAGTTGCTGCTGCTTGTGCTGCTGCTGCTGCCGTTGCTGCTGCTGCGACCGCAGCAACTGTTTTCTTAGCATTCACTTCAGCTTTGGCTTTGGCTGGAAACGGACTGCGCAGATTGATTAAGGCTGGTGGCGATGTGCGATAAGCAGCATTGTTGTTCAGGTTCAGGTTGTTGCTGTTGCTGCTGTTGTTGTTCAGGTTGCTGTTGCTGCCTCGTTGCGCACTGAGCGCCACCGACAATGGAGGCGATTTCACCATTGCCGGCATGGACAACGGCGGCGATTGTGCCGCGGCCGCGGCTGAGGCTGAGGCTGAGGCACGCTTCGTATTCTGCCTGGGCAGACCAACAGGTGGACCCATTAGACGTGCCCCCGCCGCCGTTGCACCCGCACCCAGACGCACAATCTCCAGCGCCGGCAGTGTGGTCTCCGTGTAGGGATAAGTCAGGCCATGCAAGGCACTCGCCTGGCCGCTGTTGCTCGGCCTCGGCGTTATAGTCAGCGTTGACTGTGGCAGCGTCAGACTCAACCCGGCGGGGCACAGCATGGGCATGTTGCTGCTCATCGTCGTCGTCGTCGTCTTGGCCAGCTCCGGTCCATACAGACGCATCTGTGGCGCATAGCTTTTGGCTTTGTTGGCGGCATTTAGCTTGTTTATCTGCTGTTGTTGCTGCTGCTGCTGCTGCTGCTGCTGGTAGTCGAGGCGCGGCTGCTTTGCGAGCAGCAACTGTTGCTGGGTCTCGTCCAGGGATAGCGAGCGTTTGGGCTGCTTGTTGGCAGCGCTGGCTATCGAGCTGGGCGTGGAGAGGTAACGTTGCATATGATGCGGCGGCAGCGGCGCTTGACGCATCGGCGTCTGTGGCACAACAAAGTGCGGCATCAAAGTTGGTTTGCGAATGTTGTTGTTGTTGTTGCTGCTATTGTTGTTGTTGTTGTTGGTGAGCTGCGACGGCTTGGCAGGCTTGGGCTGCAGTTGCTGTGGCGCAGGCTTCAACTTTATGGGTGCGGCAACAGGGGCAGCTACTGCAGCAGTTGCTGCCACTGCCACTGCTGCTGCTGTAGCAGGAGGCGCAACTATTGAAGCTGTTGTTGGAGCTGCTGTTGCTTTGAAGGCCTTAAATAGGCTGGGCGGCAGCGGCGGGGAGGCGGGCAATTTCAGCTCCTTCTTCTCAACAGCAGCAGCAGCAACAGCAGCAACACCAGCAACACCAGCAGCAACAGCTGTGTTGCAGTTCGAATTGGAGTTGGTGTTGGCTGTCATCAGGCTGTTAATGCTGCGCGCCTCCTCGCCCAGCGTGCGATTGAGTGCATCCTGCTGGCTGGACACGGTCGCCACAGCGGCTGCCTGCTGTTGCTCCTGCAGCTTCAGCTGATGCAGGGCAGCCAGCTCACCGCCGGCCAGCGAGTGGGAGCGCTTCAAGTCCAGCTTGTGCGCCTTGTGATTATGCGTTGTGGTTATTTTCATCTTCATTTTGCCATCCGTTTGCGAGGAGATTTCCGCATGGAGTTTCTTGCGCTTGCCATTCGCATCCTTTGGCTCCTTCGAGTGCTTCTTCTTGCGCTTGCGATGCGAGGAGGATGTGGAAGATGTGGTAGACATCGAGGTAGAGGTGCTCGCATCGGCAGTGCCATTGGAGCCATTGGTCGAGGAGGAGCACGAACTCATTGGCGATGCATTTGGACTGTATTTGAGTGCATCCTGCGGACTGGTAACGACAGCAACTGTTGCTGCTGCTCCGACTGCTGCTGCTGTTGCTGTTGTCGGCTCAATCGGTTTGAGTCCAATATTTTTGGCATATGTCTCCAGATCGAGCTGCTGATGCGGCAGCACCTCGCACGACTGCTCCAAGCGCGCTCCGCCGACTTGGGCATGGTTAGCTTGGCCCTCATGCTGTTCAGCTCGATCTTGAGCTTGGGCAGATGCGACTGCGGCGACTTCTTGTTGGCCGTCTTCAGCTCGAAGCCGCCCTCATCGGCATAGCCAGCGGATTTGCTCAGCTGCGATTGCGGTATGCTGACCACAAAGTTTGGCTTGCAATTGCCCGCCAGCTCCTCCGGCTCCGGTTCGCTCTTCACACGCAACAGCGGCGCTGGTGTTGGAGCCGGAGTTGGAGCTGGCGCTGCAGCTGAGCTCGAACTGGAGTTGGTGCTGGAATTGGAGCTGGAGGAGTTGCTGACGCCATAGTCGCAGTAGCGCATATCGTTGCTGCGCAGACTCTTGAAATTGCTGGGGGCATAGGCTGGGTCATCCTGCTGTTCCCGCTTGTTGGTTGCCGCTTGGGATTGGGTGCGCTGCTTGCTTTTGGCCAGTTTCGTTGTGGATTTGCTGCGCGTCGATTTGCTTGTGGCTGGCAGCAGACGCGACTGCGATTGCGATTCGACATCATCCGCAAAGGTCACCGACTTGCCACTCTTTGCGGCAGCTGTGTGGGCAGCAGCAGTCGAACTCAACTCAATATCCTGCTTAACCTTTGACAAATTGTTCTCATCGTTTTTTATTGTCGCGCACTCGTAAAGCAAAATCCTATATCGAAATGCCATCGGCGCATGCTGTGGAAGTTGCAAGAAAGGGGGTTGCAAATTGGTCATCGAAGTTTTAATACCCTTTCACATCATTTACAGGGGAGATAAAATAATACTATGCTGATCCGATTGGCAATGCTAAAAACTTGCCAAATTATTCAAAGACTTGTCAAGGTTTGAGTCTAATCAAAATCGATTTAAAAATGAAAAGTTTGCTATAGGAAAAGGTTCCTTAAGAGGCAGGTAAACGATTCCTTGATCATAATATTCCAGGAGACATATATCTTTGGTATCTTAAAGATATATTGGAAAAGTTTTATTAAAGGTTGGACGTTTTTTTAAGCTATCTTGAAAAGAAATACAAGTTTTACAAGACAAGAACTCAATTTTGGATTATTAAAAGAGAAAGACGGAACTTTATTTGGACTCATTCGGATAACTACACAAACGATTCCTTGATCATAGTATTCCAAGAGATATTTGATATCTTAATGATATATTGGAATGATTTTATTAAAGCTTTCAAGTTTATTTTAGGCTATCTGGAAAAGAAATACAAGTTTTACAAGACAAGAACTCAATTTTGGATACTATATTTGGATTCATTCTGATAACTACTATAAAGAAAGATGAGTTCACATAAATTTCCGAGCATTTCGTGAGGAGCTTTTAATAGGACTTGCCATGAGCACAACCTTGGCATAGCCTGACATACCCTGGCATACACTGTACAGTGGACATTCTAAGGGGGGGACACTAAACTGGCGGCACAATCCGATTTGCCAGCGGCTAATTTCAAGTGCCAGGGACAGACACAGGCACAGGCACAAGGACAGTTAAATTCAGCATAAACCCTCCCATCCCCCCCGGGAAGCGGTAAAGATACGTGAAAAACAAGTCTGAAACTCACCCGCTTCCACTGGTAACAATAGCCGACGTCCATCAGCGTAAAGCTGGGCGGCAAAACCTCATCCTCATACGTGACCTCGACCTCGACATGTTTGTTCTCCGCATCGATGTCGTACTTGGAGCAGAGAAACCGCTTCAGATGCACAACCCTCAAGTCGGCGGGGCACTGAAGATAGCAGACGGGCGGCTTTTCGCCAGCCCCGCACTGTTTCAGCATTGCAGGATGATATTCTAGGGATAAACTGGCCACAAAAGAAAAAAAGCAGAAAATAATTAAATATATATAGAATATAAGGAAGAAGTTTCATAAAGCTTAAATACAGCTTAAATGAATAGGAAATGAAAAGAAAAACTTTGCTTGAATTTACGCAGATTTAAGTGACTCTCAAATATAGTTAAAGTTTAGTATTTTAGTAGTTAAATAAACTCAAAGAAAGAATAGATTTCCACAGATTTCGATAGGAAACAGGCAAGAAGAATTGGGTTAGTTTGCCTTAAGAATTTAAGTAAGCTGAAAAGCAGAACACGCCTTAAACTAAAGAGAAACTTTGCCAAAGAAATACAAATTAGAATAAACCAAGAAAACTAAATAAGTTGGAATTAACTAAGAAATAGAAAGTTGCTGAGTAATAACGCACCTAATAGGCTCTCCGGGCGTAAAGAACTCCTGTTCCTGGTGCTGCTGCTGTGGCCCGAGCACATCCTCCGCATCCTCAACCAGCTCCCGGTGCTGCTCCTCGAACTCAACGAGACGCTGGCATTCGCGCTGATAGAGACCCGGCACCAGTTTATAAATCAGGGCGCGCATTGTGTCATCGGATCTGCATCGGGATTAGGCAGAGATGGAGATGGAGAAATGGAGAGAGGCAGTGAAGTAGTTGTGCACCTACCTGAGATTATCCTCGCTGATCTGCTTGCCACCGCTGCCCTTGCACTGTGGGCAGTAAACATCGCGCAACAAATGCTTCAATATGCAACTGCGACAGTCTGCAACGGAAATTGTGTTGCATGTGGGTTGTTTTTGTTTGAGACATGTGGGAATAGTTGTTGCAAAGATGGCTGCTGCACTTACATGTGTGATAACAATAGTCAACGGTTGTCGGCTCTATCATATAACCCTGACAGATGCGACAGGTCATCAGGTCATTGAACTCTCTCATCTCGTGGACAGCTCCGTCGCCTCCCTCCAATTGGTGCTTTGGCTGCGTTTTGGCTGTGCTTGGCTCCGTTTTCAGATGCATTTTCTAACTGTGTATATAGCCTCTATATAATTTGGTATCTTTTTTCAGATGCTAGCATGTCCTGCAAAAGATAAGCTGTTAAAGGAGTTGCCCGATTGGTCTCTAGATTATATGCAGATTTTTCTCATAAAACTCAAATTGTTGTTTGTTGTTTAAAGTTGAAAGCAGCACAAAACCTTTAAATATTGAGTTTGTTTAATAGTTTTTTGCATAACTTAAGAGTTGTTAAGAAAACATCGTATAATGAGCAATGTTGGAGTATTTGTCAAATTTGTAATTGCTGGATTTGATTAAAAAGATGCCCAAAAAGATATAGTCTCTAGGAATGATCAGTTCACATAGATCAGCTAAGACTTTGATCATCTGCTGAATCATGAAATGATATATGTATATATGCTTTATAGACGAGATTATAACTGATTTATCTGCTTCAACAGTGGTGACAAAATAGGACAACCTTTTGCACATTTATTAAAGACTATTTTGATAAATGAGTTGGGGGCTGTCTTTATGAGGCAGCACGCACCATGTGAAGAAGACCATGATGACCACCACAAGCTGTTGCGACTGCGCAAAAAATGAAATAAAATCAAATAAAAATAAAAACGGGTGGCAAAGACACAACATAAAAGCTTTTAAAGCGCCACATGGACAGCAAAGACAAAGGTAAGCAACAACAGCAACAACAACAACAGAAACAGAGAATGAAAAAAAGTAGCGAAAAAAGCCAACTGTGAGAAATAACATAAAGCAAAATCACATCGCCAGCAAACGCGGAGACCAGCGACCAACAAGCAACACAACCAACACAAGCAACACACAACTGGCAAACCATCATCACCCATCAACCATCAACCATCACCCATCAACCATCAGCCATCAACATCATTGTGGTCGGGTCGGGTCGGGTTGGGTCTACGGGTCTGCGTCTCCGTCTCCGTCTTCGACTCATCGTTGGTCGTCGTCTGTCGTCAAACAAAAGCCGCACATAGAGATGACTTAATGTGTAACTATGTAGCTGTTACTTTGTATCTTTGTATCTGTATCTTTGTATCTTTGTATCTGTATCTGTATCTGCAGCTGTATCTGCAGCTGTATCTGCTCAACACACACAGATATGGCAACGTCAGCGGCACTAGACACTAAACTTTAGACTAGTAAGTCAGCCATCCATGAATCGGAACAATGCCGAAACACACACAAAAAAATAAACAAAAAACGAATATATGAAAAAAAAAAAAAAAAAAAAGAAAAAAAACAAAAAAAAAGAAAAAAAGAAACGCAGAAACCCAAGAAGCAAAACCCATACGCAGAAGGCGTCTAAAGAAGGGGCTAAGAAGGAGGGGGCTGCTGGGCTTTCGGAGGCACAAGCGACGCCCTTCGTGCCACACAGAGGGCACCCTACAAAAGCTTACACACACACACACACACACACACACAGAGAAGCATTTGTGCACTCGACGTGTGTACTTGAATCTAGTTTTAGGTTTTGCCTCCTCGTCGACATCGTCGTCGTCGTCGTCGTCGTCGTCGTGCAAACGAATAAAGTACGAAAATTACGCTCTTGTGTGTGCCCTACACACACCAACAAGCATACACACACACACACACACAAACACATACGCACAGTCAGCCAGTTGATGATGATGATGATGAAGATAATAATAATGCTGCTGCTGATGATGATGATGATGATAATTATTATTATTATGTGGGCAGCGAGTTGGATCAGCAGGTTGGAGAGCGTCTCTGTCTATGTGTGGCAGAATGTATGCCACACACACAAACGAGTAGCGTTAAGTTGATGAAGATGAGATTTGAATGGTGCAACATAAACAGCAAAAGCAAAAGCCACAGCAAATGTCATGTTGTTAACATGTCTACAACATACCACTATATATATAGTATAGTTTATATAGAATGACTAGTTCGTCTAACCACAAACCAGGGGGGGATCAGCAACTAGTCCTTAATGTGGTCACTGACTATTTGCCTGTTCAGCTTGGTCTCATTTTAATCATTTCGATTATTGTAATTTATGCTTAAATGCATATTTCTTATCTTGATTTATCAGTTATTGAAAAACATTAAAGAAACAAACAATTTTTGATGATTTATCTTAATATTGTTCAGCTCGAGTTATATTTCAACTTTTTCTTACAGTTCTTTAACTGTGAATGATTGATTTCTAGCTTAAGATTGATTGACTTATTTATCTCTGATGGATTTTTTGCTTGGAATATGAACTCTAAAGCATATGTTAATTCATCCTTTTGTGGCAAGCATAAAAACGAATCTTTTAATCGTAAATATGGCAATAAAACATATTAGTTTCCAATTAGAATACTCAAGATATATTTATATATCAAGTATAAACGATTTAAGGCTGTGTAGTTCCATATTGAGAAACTCTAAGATTCTTATTATGATTGAATTTTTTACTTAACAATTTTAAGACAAGTGGAAAAAGAAGAATTTGTTTCAAAAGGGTTTTCAAGTAAGCTCAAATCAAATAAAAGAAATCTGGCTATGATGATACCTATATATATATATATATATATATATATTATATAGATATCCGTTTTTGGGCAGCTGTTCAGTCAACTCCCCCACAACGCTGGCCACAATCTAAGCTGCTGTAGGGCAAATAAAAGTCGCCTTGGCCCGAAATGCGCTGCCCACTTTTTTGCTCTCTCTCTCTCTCTCTCTCTCTTATTTGATTTTTCTTTTTGTAGTAGTTGTTGCCCCGTTTGCCTTTGACATGTTTCTGCTCTTTGCACGTCACACGCTCACGCGAAACTGGCACGAAAGCAGCTTGTAAAAGGCAAGACGAAATGACAACAAGCCGAGCAGAGAAGCTGCGATGCGATGCGATGCTAGCAAAACAAAAACAAAACAAAAACAACAACAAAAAACAGCAAGCAAAAAAAAAAACTAAAAACAAAACAAAACAAAAAGCGAGCAAGGCAGGCAGGCAACAAAAACAAAAGCGTTTCAAATACAGCTGGAAAGTAAGCCAAAACAGCACACAAGGATTGACGTGGGGTCAGCCAGCAAAAAGGATAGAGAGTGGGTGGAGCAGGGGGGTGGGGTGAGTGGGTGTGTGTGTGTGTGTGTGGAGTAAGAAAGCTGGACACAGCAGTAGTTGCAGGAAAATGCAAACGTTGCCGTGTTTCTAAAAATGAGGATAATGAGAATGCGAGGCGGCTCCTGAGTAAACAAGCTGAAATGCCATTCATCAGCGACGCCCACGCCCACGCCCACAAGACAGAAAGAAAAAAAAGTAAAAACAACACCCACTCACATTGAGTGCTATGCTAAAGTGCCCCACTGTGCCGGTCTTTTATGAGGTGGGTGGTGGTGGGTGCGATGGCTTCAATTGACAACGTTGATGACGTCTTCAACGCGGCTGACGTATTAGTTTACGAGCAAGGCTCAAACCAACACACACACACACACACACACTGACGTATAGGCGCATGCTGGCTGTGACGAAATATGGCCACAGCTTGCACAGTGGGCAGAGTTTTATATTTTTGCCGCGCTGTTATCGCTATCGAAACGAAAACAATAATAACAACAAATACGGCAACAGCAACAGCAGCACCAACGACTGGCGCCGGCATAAGCGCACTTTACAACAACAGCAACAACAACAACAGCAACAAGCCCGCCGGGTGGTTGCTACACACACATACTCAGTTATAGACACGACGCGCACGCAACAAGCTTTGCCGAGAAATAATGTTACAGCGAAAACGGAAAATTGAGCGTAAATATGTCTACAGCACTTGTAAAGATGAACGTGCGCTCTGTCCACAACAGCAGCCGCTGAAAATACAACTGAATGCCATGCACGAAATTCAAATGCTTCGACGCTGCGTTCGTATTGTGCTTGTTGTTGTACTGTCGTACTTCGTGCTCGTACTTCGTACTTCGCCGCGCAATTGAGGCGAAACGAGCAAACGAGCGGCTACGAAGCGCAGACGACACAAATTTGTATCTATTCGCCGCGGCAACGCAACGCAACGTAACGCAGCAAGAGAGCCGCCCCAATGTGGGCTGTGGGAGAGAGCGTACGAGCGAACGCGGCAAAACCAAAAGTCAAAACAAAACTTTCTACAATTTGCGCGCGCGTGTATTCGCCGTTTCGCCGCGTTTTTCGTTTTCGGTTTTGTTTTTTTTTCGAAATCGCCGCCGCCGTGTGTCGAAAATTCCAATACGACGACGACGACAACAACAGCAAACGCACACCACTTGTCACGTGTACGTGTGTTTACAAAATTTTCACACACACACACATAGACAGCAAGTATTTTTTTCGTTACATTTCGCCGTGCTCGCCGCACAGTCAAAAGCAAAGTGAAATTTTCTTATTAGAAATGTACACACAACTGTCTTCAGTTTCCAAACGCTTAGCGCTTTTCTGCCAGCCAATTCTCCAAAATTGCGACGCAAATTGTTTACGATTTACAATAACTGCGTCTGTTAGCCGGCTGCTTAGAAGCTGGCAGCTAAAATTGAAAACAACATTTTACGCACAAGCATAAATCGATTCGAACCAAAAATGATGAACTCTTCTTCTTACTTTATAACACTTGCCGACACACACATACACATACATGCGGTGTGTGCGCGCTTCTTTCACTTCAGCTGCTACTGCTGCTGCTCTTATCGATTTCTCATACACGTTTTTATTATCACGAACAGCGGCTGAGATTTTCAAAGCTCTTACTCTCTGTCTCTATCTCTCTCTCTCTCTCTATATGTGGCACACTCTTGCACTCTCACTCTCCCTCTCTCTCTCTCTGTTTTGCCGAAAGCGGACAAAAATTGACTTTACTCCGTCCACAAAGTGCACGGCACGAAAACTGTTCAAAGACTGATTCTGATTAGACCTGCCAACGATTTCGGTACCGTGCTGCCGCTGTTCGCGTCTGCGCCCTGAGAGCCCCTCGTGAGAGCGAGAGCAGGCGAGAGCGAGACAAAGAGATTCGCTGTTGCCGTTTCGCGCCATTGCTGTACCGCCCACCCTGCGGCTGTCGTGCGGCTTGATTGGCTGCAACTGCCATGCTCGGCCACTTCGGCTCTGGCCCGAGCTCGTCGTGTCTCTAACTCTGCCTGTGTGTGCGTTGCGTTTCGCTGCGCTGCCTTTACCTTTTTGGGGTGGCTGTGCGTGTCGCTCGTGTCGGTCGGTCTTCGTGAGCGTGACTGTGTGTGCGTGTGTGTGTGTGTGTTCGCTTGTGTGGGTGCCGTTTTTAATTGAATTCAACTGTCAAATGAGAGATTAACGCTTCTGCATTGACGCTGGCTGAGACAGCGGCAGCGACGTCGTCGTCGGCAATCGTGCCAGCTACGTATTGGCCTTGGTGTTTATAATTATCGCGAATTCTCGTTTGTCGCCGTCGCCGTCACCGTCGCCGCTTTTGCTGTTTCTCGCTCACTCCTGTCCGTTTGGGCATTTTGTGAAAAATATGAACATGCTCGCATATATGAAACTCATCTCAATTGGGGCCATATGCAAAGGTGTCATCCTCTCTCCTCTGCCTCAATGTAGCTGTCTCTCTGTGTATGTGTGTGTGAGTGTGTGTATATCTGTCTCTTGGCTGTATCTGTGCCTGTCACTGACACCACTTGAGACCTGATGTCTACTTGATCTTACGCTCGATTCTTGTTTTGACAGCCGACGGGGCCAAATAATACCAGTGGGCGGCGGCGGGGGGCGGTGTCGAATCACACACAATTTATGCTCACTGCGAATTTTTTATGATTCGAATTCAATTGAAAACGACTTCAGCGCCTGCCAAAAATTTGCATTTCAAAGGGTTTTGCTGACGACGACGGCGACAAGTGCAAAATCGCGTGTCCTTGAAATATATATATATATATATTTTTTATTCGGCACGTCTCCGCGTAGATTTCAAGGCTCGTTAGACATTAATATGCACAGCAATCGCTGGAAAACGTATTCATACAGCTTGATAAATGATGCAGAAAAGCGACTCCGTGTGGCAGGCTGCGTGGCAGCACACATCTTGTCTACAACGGGAACATCTTTAAAACCAAGTCAAATTTGATTTCTGCTCAGTTACTTCCACTCACAGCTTCGAAGCTTTTAATTTAAGACGCTAATGGATTGATATTATTCATCTCAAATGCACCCGAGAAGATTCTTCATTGAAAAAACATCAAATTATTGACAATTACAGCCATGAAAGGATCTTAACTCACACGCTCGATTAAAGTGTGTTTTCATTTCTAATTTCCTTATAGCATTAGTTAGCATCCTCGATCCCATAAAATATAAGATTTTCATATATATCAAACATAGAAACATTGTAAAGTCATCTTAAACTAACATTTAAATCAGATTACTTAAAAACATAATAAATCTCATGTAAAGTAGTTCTTATATTATAATTAATATAAGTTAGTGCCACATATATATTTGTGTACTATATTGTAGATATACAAATAGGCAGTAGTCAGATTCCCCGATCCATAAAATATATATGTGGGATCAGAGTAGCCAAAGCTGTGTCAAACATTACAATATCAACCATTTCAATACCATCTAAATCTAACTATAAACATATTGCTTAACATTGAAATTACAAATAATATTGCTTAGTCCCACATAAATACGATATTTCAGAGCAGGAACAGCAGCCCAGAAGTACAGTTATTTTGTGTATTCACACATTTTAAGAAAATATAAACAATATAAATAAATAAGGAGATTTTATGAATAAATTCCAGCTGTCTGATGACCAGGGAAAGAGTAACATCTTGCTGGGTGCAGGGTGTCTTGTAGTCGAACACTCTTAGCTGGAGCACTGCAATACCCTGTTCTCGTAGAAAATGCTTTAGCTAAGATCGACTATCCATTCGGCTGTCTGTCCGGCTGTTTGTCCGGCTGTCTGTCTATATAATGCTAAAGGCACAAAAATCACAAATCATATTAACTGCAGCTAACTGCCCTTCTATGCGATTCTCATGTAAGCAAGTGAGAATTACAGATTTGTATGCACATTTCGGTAGATTATTTAATCATTTTGTGTTCTCTCAGCCAAACTCTTATTCATATTCTCTCTAAAACTCGCTCTTTTCCTCCTACTCGCTCTAAATAATATTGTTTTCCAAACTGAATCTTTTTCCACAAATCATTTATGTTCAATATTTATGCAGATCACATTATTTGTTGAGGGAAATTGACTAATGAGTCAATTAACTGAACAATATCTGCTCTATTCTGAGATGATTCAGTAAGAATGAGTTGGTTTACAGCAATTAAAGGGGTACAGTTATGTATTTATATACTTCTGATAATTAAACCCGAGTCTTATCTACTAATGATGACTGGGAATCTATATTTATGTGTTGGAGAGCGTTCTTATGATAAAAGAATGATTGTTCGAGTGTGGTTATGTTCATCGGTGGGTGCCACTCTATGCCTCTTCTTCTTCTATAACCACAATATTTATGAATACACCCACTTTGAGTATGTGTGTGTGTGTGTGTGTGGAAAGCCACAGGAGTACTGCATGCAAATGTAATTATAAATGACCCACGCTGCTCCAAGCTGATGCGGAGCTCAACTGCAACTACAGCAGATCCACATAGATACACACACACACATACACAAATGTGTATATGTGTATATATATATGTGTGTGTGTGTGTGTCCTGGCGAACCAGCTGGAAGTGAATCCTGCTGGTAAAACAAATAATTAATGTGTGTGCAGCATTTGGCAACTGAAAACTGAAAACTGGCTGTGGTTGTGTCTATGCGGTTGCATATTACAGCTAGAAGAGGTGGTTATGTGTGGCAACATTCCGTACATGACACACACACACACACACAGCTATTTAGAAATGTGCCTTTAAGTGTTGGCATTTTTGTTAAACTTGCCCAATATCATTTAACATTTAATAACATTAATTAATATTCACTTTTAATAAGTATCTTTTGCATTGGTTCCAGCTTTCTGATTACTTTCCCAGCTAAGCTTTGCTTCTTTATTATTTAGTTTTAATTAATAAATTCCATTTATAAATTTATCAAGTTAAACGCGTAACTTTTTGCTTCGTTTCACAATTAGTTTAATTTAGTATTTGCTTAAATTCAGTTAAAGTGGCCGTTTTCATTTGTCAACCAGTTCTTCGCTCTTCCTCTTCTGCGCATTTAATTTGAGTTCAATTGTGAAACTGTTCCATTTTCATTTCAGTTCAGCGCACAGTTGCCACTTTTTCCTCGCGACAAACTGTTAAATGGGAAATAAATTTTGACAGGTGCGCTTATTACGGCTCTTTTGTAGCAATTAATGTCCCAGTCTCTCTGCTCTTCTCTCCTCTCTCTCTCTCTCTCTCTCTCTCCTCTCTCAGTGTCTCTGTCTCTGTGGCGTTTCGTTCACGGTCTCGCCACAATTAGGTGGAATGTGCTTTGAAAGTGACATTTATCAAAAGGGCGCATAATTTATTAGAAAAGTACGCACACAAAAAGACAAAGACAGCCGACGGCTTGCAAATGAGCTCAAGAGCGAGACAGAAAAAGTGGGTGCAAAACATATAAAACAAAAAAATATATATGCAACGAAAATAAAAACTGAAATGAGAAAAATTAAGGGTATAAGCGAGCGAGTAAACATGAAAGATTTGCGGATTTGCGAGGCAGCAGAAATTGTGCTGTGATATCTGCTCATATTAACCCTCAAAAATCTCATACATGTGTGCATTTGTATGTGTGTGCTGTGTAGTAGAATACGTAATGAGCACTTGCGGTACACG